AACCGCGGACTACGTTCTACTTGTGTCTTTATTGACAAAATAGAACGGACTACAGTGGACTGGATAAACAAACATACAGTTACAAATCAGCAACTTTATGCTTTGTCGATCACGCACTCACGCACACTCATACAGACAGCTGTCACTGGGCTACAAATAATGAGTTGAAAACCTAGGAAGAGCGTTCTAAATAGCTCTGGTCCTCACAAGTTCCTACCTCACACCTCCCCGCGGTGTAGCCTGGGCAATGTTGTCCTTCCGACAAAAGAAAGTGAGGTGGTGCGACGTGAACACTGGCGTGGTAACCATAGCACGGCAATAAAGGAAATGCTTCGTTAGCCCACAGGAGTACCAACCGGCACATTAGGATCGACGCCAGTAAGATCTTAATAACAGCATACTGGAATAATGGACACGACACATGCTATTATCATAGAGATAACTCTAAGACCAGAAGGTCCCAAAGAAACGTGCTCAACTTTTTGGCTCACCTCTGGTACTATCTTCGGTCCAAGCTTGTCGAATCACCCCTCGAAACATAGGAAAAACCAATAACCCCTCATTTTATCTGTCAAACTTTCATAGCGAATCAAAACAAACATTGCGTAGTACTAGAATTTCGACTAGAATGGGGTACGTTAATCGATTTGCTTGGAACCAATAGGCTAGTCAAGTAGTGAGCCAATTTAAAATCGTTAGTTTCGTATTAATTGTTGCTGTTGAGCCAAAAAGTTGAGCACGTTTCTACTGGACCTTCTGGTCTTAGAGTTACCTCTATGGTACCAGAGCTGAGCCAAAAAGTTGAGCACGTTATTTCGGGACCTTCTAGTCTTAGAGTTACCTCTATGCTAATAGTGCGGCTGCCCCCGTCTCGGTAAAACCTTGGCAGGCCTCCGGATACGTTCAAAACTCGTCACCAATTGGTAAGACGCCAGGCAGTGAAAACGGAGGAGGGAACGTGTTTGCAAGGAGCGGAATATTGCAGAGATCACCAGTGTTGAACCTGGTGGCCACAGCGAGTTCCAGCAGCAGCAGCAGTAAGCCCCAAGCTGAGCAGCAAGGACACCAAGGAGAGCTAGGTCTTGTGCTAAGCCAGATGTTCACACCGAAATCCAGCAGTAGCACACCTCAAGAAGGATTGCAGCTTGGGAAGACCAAATTGAAGGAGGTCAGGAGGAGAATCAATGAACTCCATGACTTCGTCAAGGATAAGAGCAACGTCCACAAGGCAATAAAGGAAATGATGACGGGTATCAAATCCGCCATGATTGCTGCCGAACGTGAACAGGATGCGCTGAGGACGAGAGCCGGGACTGCCGAAAGGGCACTTATCGAGGCCAAGGAAAAAGCAGCAGCTGAAGCACAGAAGACGCTCGGATAAGAGGAAAACGGAACGCCAGGAGAGGAAGAGGAGTTGAAAAAAGTCAAGAACGACAAGGAAGACAACAAGGAGGAAGGCTGGCGTACCGTCGAGAAGCCAAAGGAGAAGTGAAAAAAAACGGGAGGAAACATAAGTGAAGAAGAAAGAAGAACAGAAGAAGGAGCAACCCAGGCCTCGTCGGAAGCGAAGTAAGTCGAAGCAAAGGACAAAACGACGTACGCAGCACTCCTTCGGAAGGTTCGAGAGGGTCCGGAATTGAAGGAACTACGAGAGAACGTGGTGAAAACCCAGCGCACCCAGAAAGGCGAGATGTTCTTTGAGCTGAAGAAGGATCCTTCGATCAAGAGCTCAACCTTCAAGGAGCTCATCAAAAGGTCCCTTGGCGAAGGGGCGAGCGTAAGAGATCTATCTCAAGAGACAATGGTCGAGTGCAGGGATCTGGACGAGATCACTACAGAAGTGCATTGAAGGTGCATTGCGATCTAGGAGAAGTCCCTATGTCAATCCGGATGAGGAAGGCGTATCAACAATCAATACCAAACTATCGATTTTAAATTGGCTCACTACTTGACTAGCCTACTGGTCCCAAGCAAAACGATTAACGTACCCCATTCTTGTCAAAATTCTAGTACTACACTATGTTTGTTTTGATTTGCTATGAAAGTTGACAGATAAAATGAGGGGTTCGTGGATTTTCCTATGTTTCGAGGGGTAGCTTAGGACCGAAGAGAGTACCAGAGCTGAGCCAAAAAGTTGAGCACATTTCTTCGGGACCTTCTAGTCTTAGAGTTACCTCTATGGTGATACGGCTTTCGACAGTTGAAGCGAATAAGCTGTTGGAGACGGGCAAGGTCAAGGTCGGGTGGTCAGTGTGCTTGCTGAAAGCCACTCCTCGTTTTACCAAGCAAATGGAGCGATGCTTCAAGTGTATGGGTTTCAGTCACCAGGCGAGGAACTGCAATGGCTCTGACAGATCTGATCTGTGCAAGAAATGCGAAGAGAAGGGTCACATTGCAAGAGGCTGCACAAAGCAACCGAGTTGCATGCTGTGCAAAAAAGAAGACGAAAACGACCATACGAGGGGCGACTACAAATACCTAGACAAGGCGATGGCCGGCCAACAGTAATGGAGGTAACCAAAATAAACCTCAATCATTGCGACACTGCACAGCAACTGTTGTGGCAGTCGACAACAGAAACAAAGTGCGACGTTGCAATCATTCGCCTTGACACCAGTCCCGAAGTGACGTTTCTTCACACACATTTTGACAGTTCCTTATGGGATTTTGCGTCGGAGTGAAAGAATAAGAAAAAGTCCGCCAAGTTTCACACATAGACTGACAGTTACACATGAGATTTCTCTATAGGAGTAAAGAGTTACAGAGCTCTCGTCAACGCCAATTGCGGAGCCGTATCGAGTCCCTCCCGATAACGGTAACTGGGTGGCGGATAGAGCTAAGATGGCTGCAATACAAGTTTTGTGCAGATACTCCATTCAAGAAGTGGATGCGAGCTCATGCAAAGGTTTCGTGATCGCCAAAATTAACGGAATCTTCATATGCAGTTGTTACGGACCCCCGAGATGGACTATGGAGCAATTTCATGAGATGCTGCATGGATTTACCGAAGAGCTGATCGGACGAAGACCGGTAGTCATCGGAAGAGACTTCAATGCTTTGGCAGTGGAGTGGGGAAGCAGATATTCCAATGCAAGAGGACACAGTCTGCTGGAAGCTCTGGCAAAGCTTGAAGTTAAGCTGTCCAACGAAGGCACCAGCAGCACTTTTCGCAGAGATGGCCGGGAATCCATTATCGACATTACTTTCTGCAGTCCGTGGCTGGTGGCAAACATGAATTGGAGAATGTGCAAAAGATATACCCATAGCGACCATCAGGCGATCCGATATGGCATCGGCCAACGGAATACTGTGGCAATACGGAGGACGAGAGCATGCGACCGGAAGTGGAAGACGAAGGCTTTCGACAAGGATCTTTTCGTTGAAGCACTCTGTGTGGACAGGGGCCCGTGAATCTGAACGCGGACAAGCTGACATAAACGTTAGTGAGAGCATGTTACACGACCATGCCGAGAAAACTGGAGCCAAATAACAGACGGCGTTCAGCTTACTGGTGGAACGAGGCACTTAGCACCCTTTGCGCTAGTTGTCTCTGATCCAGAAGACGTGTTCAGAGAGCAAGAACAGAAGCAGACAGAGAGAAACAAAGAGGAGTGTTTCGAGCGGCCAGGGCTCGAGCTGAGTAAGTCAAACTGCTTTAAAGCGCTGTATCGAGACGCTGATACCAACCTCTGAGGCGACGCATACCGAGTCGTGATGGCGAAGATCAGAGGTCCAACGATGCCCGCTGAAATGTGTCCAGAGAAGCTGAAAGTCATCATGGAAGGACTTTTCCAGAAGCATGACCCACCGACCTGGCCACCTATACCGTACGGAAAGGGAGAGGGAGATAACGTCGAAGTCACGAACGAGGAACTCGCAGCAGTGGCGAAAGGATTGAAGGTTAAGTAAGCTCTCGTCCGGATGGAATCTCCAACGTAGCGTTGAAAGTGGCGATCCAGGGGTCCCCGAATATGTTCAGGATGGTGCTGCAGAAATACCTGGACGAGGGTCACTTCCCTGACAGCTGGAAGATACAGAAGTTAGTGTTGCTGCCGAAACCAGGAAAACCGCCGGGGAATTCAGCATCGTACAGGCCCAAGAGGCACGCAATACCCAGGACCAGTGCGTTGGATTAAAAATCCAAGCAAAAGTACTAAATGTAATTAAAGCATTTTAAAGTTGTAATGAAAGTAATGAAAATTATGTTGCCGTACTCAACGTAATTAAAAGTACCAGGAAAAGAACTCAATAATGGCACTGAAAACGTAGTCAATGGACTTGAATTACTTAAAAAGTAGCGGTGCAATTAAAGTACTTAAAGCTGTAATTCATGGAAATATTTTGATTACACCTCTTGCCTACGTCGGAAATAAAGGCTATTGCGTGCCCCTCGTGCAGGTCTATCTGCTTGCTGGATACACTCGGAAAACTCTTGGAGAGGATCATCCTAAACAGACTGTCGAAATGCACGGAGAATGTTCGGATTCCGGAAAGGGAGATCAACGGTGGATGCAATTCGGACAGTGGTCTAGAAAGCCGAGAAGGCGTCCAAACAAAAGCGGAGAGGAGATCGATATTGCGTCGTGATAACGATCGACGTCAATAATGCGTTCAACAGCGCCAGCTGGGATGCCATCGTCGAAGCGCTGCATAGAATGAGGGTCGAGAGATCGATTATGATCACAGCGGGAGTTCCACAAGGCTCCATCCTTGGTCCAACACTTTGGAACGGGATGTACAATAGCGTGCTAATGCTGAAGCTGCCCAAAGAAGTTGAGACCGTTGGCTTTGCAGACGACGTCGCCTTGACGGTAACAGGCGAGACGCTGGAAGAGGTGGAAGTGTTGGCAACCGAGGCAATTGACATGATTGGTAACTGGATAGCCCATCACAAAACGGGAGTATTATTGGTCAGTAACTGTAAAGCGATGCAGGGTGCAGAGATCACCGTCGGGTAGCACGCCATAACCTCGAAGCGCGTGTTGCAATACCTGGGAGTGATGATCGATGACCGGTTAAACTTCAACAGCCACGTCCAATTTGCCTGTAAGAAGGCTTCGAAGGCCATCAACGCGATAGCTAGAATCATGCCGAACAACTGTGGTCCCAGCAGTAGCAAGAGGCGTCTTCTGGCCAGTGTGTCATCGTCGATACTGAGGTATGAAGACACAGCCTGGGTTGCAGCGCTGGAAACGAAGCAGAACCAAAGGAAACTTAGCAGTACGTTCCGACTCATGGCCATGCGAATCGTGAGTGCGTACAGAACCATATCGTCGGAAGCAGTATGCGTTATCGCCGGAATGATCCCTATCAACATCACCCTGGTGGAGGACAGCGAGTGCTACAGGCACAACAACAGGAAAGTTGTGAAAGCGGAGTCGTTGGCTAAGAGGCAACAGGAGTGGAACACGGCGGAGAACGGTAAATGGAAACATACTAATACCGATTCTTTCGATCTGGGTGAACAGAAAAAACGGAGAAGCCAACTTCCACCTAACGCAGTTCCTCCCTATCCTCCTTATCCAAATCAAACCAAAGAATCCTCACTGCCAATTGAAAAACAAGCATACAAAAAAAAAGTGCTATGGGACTAATGAAATAATAGCAAACTGAAGAAAACAGCGTAATACTAATTTTGGTTTTGTAGTTAAAACTCTTTATTGAAATTCAATCGATGATAATTACATATAATTTAGTGTAGCGATACCTATTTACACAATTGACAGATATTTCAATTAATTTGATCTAGGTTTTACTCAATTCGCAATTTTGTATGTTCATAATAATAGAGGATGTAGTTTCTTAGTACATGGTTTTTCTCTCTCTTGATTGTGTACGTGTTACGAATAGCTGTATGTATACGACAAGAGATTCTATAGCTTTCCTGTTCGGAATAGATGGATGGAAATGAGATTTACCAATTTAAAGGAAGAATGTTTACACTAGCAGAAATGGCAATACCAGAATGAACACAGACTGTAAATTTACTAGCAAGAACTAAGAATGGGAATATAAGGTGTCTCGAATGGTTCGTTTGATTTGTGCTGTTCTCGTCTTCTAATCTCGCCACTTTCGCTTTTTCCTTCGTCTGCTAGAACGATGCTTAATTTTGGGAAGGGGGTGAGTATAAAATGATTACACTATGTAAATCTGTGTCTACATTCGACGACCGACGTTTCGTGGAAGATGTTTCCGCATTTCATTCATTTGTAAAAAAGTGGATATGATTTTGATTATTTGTGTGAACCGTATTTCACAATATATATTATCGTTCTAGGTATTAGAAATCCAATCTAGAGAAACAAAACGTTCGTTTGCAAATCCGTACATGCCAACCGTTACATCATCCTGTAGAAGAAGGCAGTCAAGAGTAACTACTACTTGTAAAAGTGTGTCTATTGTGTGTGTGTGTGTTTGTGATTTGTTCTTTACTGTCCTTGATGTTTTTAGAACAAACTGTTCGATATGGAGTGTATTGCATTGTTCTTCAATTTTAAATGAGTGAGTGTAGTTGATTTCGGCTTCCTCTGCTTTGTCAGAATGTGAGTGTGTTTGCTGTTATTTCAGAGTGGTGTACTGTGATTCTTAGTTCTGGTGATGAGAAAAGGGTTGTGTTTATACAAGTTATTTGCTGTGTCCATTGTTAAGAGTAGAAAATTCGTTCCGATACTATTCGCTTGTATAAGAAAGACCACATTTTCTTCTGTGTTTTATCTCCCAGAATAAAAACCTTAAACTATCATAACACAAAACAAAAATCTTAAAAAACAAATCAATTTGTCGAGTAAATATTTTACAATAGTACTTGTAGTAGTAGTAGTTGTAGTAGTTATAGTTCGCTAATGAATTCCTTCTGTTATATGTGTTTCACATGATCTTCTTCGCAGATACACTTACTGAATTCTCTTTCGGAAAAAATTTGGTTGTATAAATAGAGTCGTTTCCTTATTTCTTCCTTGTTGTTTCAATAAATACGTGTTTCTTGTATAAACTAGTTTAGCATTGTTTTGTTTTACGGCGCCTCACCCTTGCCCATGTCACGTTCTTTTGCTGTAGCTGTTGTTGTAGTTGTACGTTTCATATATCTAATCAGATCTTATCATTGCTTCAGATCGGCTGCGTGACGACATTCTTGATGTTTACCGGCTTATCTAATTGCTTTTTAATAACTTCTCAAAAAATCGCGTTCATTCTCCGCATTGTGGTCTTGCTGCTGCTGCTGCTGTCTTCCTGCTTGCGTGGTGGTTCCTTTTGATATTCCAGGGTTTGAATTCTTCTTTTTTAAAGGTTAAATTTTGAGTATTTCCAGCGAGTGTCTATAACTGAACTGCCTAACGTCTAAACATAAAAATGAACCGTGTTTTGCTCGTTTTACTTTTGGTTTCACTGAGATTGTGTGGTCTAAAGTTTCCCTACGTTTTGTTTTCCGTAATGTTGTTTCCAGTTTTACAAAAATCTTGGCAACAGACTTGCAATCAATTTGGCTTAATGAAAATCTCGAACCAAGTAGAAGCTGGCCTGTGACTATTTTGGAAACGAAAATTTATCGCTCATCGATCGAGTGCCAAAAATCGGGAACGCTCCAACGATAGCAATCAACATTCATTCGGTTGTTTAGAGCACATTTAATATGATTTAGGTATCGTTTTTAGCTTCTTGCATGTTTTTGTTCTCTAAGTAATTAGATTTTCCTTTTTTTCACGGTTTCTGTTTGGTACATCATCTCTATAACACTTTTCTTTGAGAGGATTGTGAACGACAATTAGTTTTTCTCGTTTTCGTTTAAAACTGAAAAAAAAAATGGAACAGAAAGGGTAAAGCAATGTAGATTTTAAAGTAGGTATAACAATGAAACGGTAGAATACTCACAGCCTAAAGTACAACATCGGGCAGGGCGTGTGGCCGGGCCTAGTCTCGCATCGAGGCGTCGTGTACTATTTTCCTCTCCTTGTAGTAGATCTCTTCGGATTCCTTGTCGCACAGCAGCAGCACGACGGCACCGAATAGGAAGATGGCAGCACCCCAGCCGACACCGTACGCCCAGCCGAATTCCCACACCGGACGGTTTCCTGCAATGAAGTTCGGATCTACGATCAACCGAGGGCATGCTCCGGGGTTCTTATGATCAGAAGCAGGTGGCTCGTGCCACCACGAACTCACACAAACACAAAAACACGGAAAATTCTTCACAGTGCGGTGTGGTACATTTCATTGGAAGCTTTGACAGATGATGCTTGAAAACAATAAACAAAGACCTGAGTTTTAAGCTTTTTTCTTAGTCAGTAAAGTAAGGCACGGTATTACCAAACCGGAGGCGGCGGGTTCGATTCCCAGTCCGGTTCGGCTTGGACATGTTCTTGGGCATTGATAACTCATTGTGCTTGCGACACAATATACAAAAACTCATGCATTGGTTGGCATACAAAGCTATCGAAAGTGTTTCAGGAAGACTAAGTTGAGAAGTTGAGATCTGACAAAAGCTCATGTAAGCTATTAGGTTCTCTTCAGTGCCTGTAGTTCAGCCATTGAAGTTCTACAGACTCAATGAGGTATGATATGATGTCCAGACTAAATTTTTGAACCTGCAGAGCTCCGCGGAGCCCCATAACATCATGGCAATTTGAAATTCGTGCTAGTTGCTTGAGCTGGTGAAGCTAGTGAACTAGCCCATAAACTATCATAGATCTACCATCCAGTGTTGGAAAAGTTCGTGAGTCATAGTGAGTTTTCGTAACGCAAAAGTAAGTGAGTAGAGGGAGAGGGTATTCTGGAAACGCGATAAAATGTCATGTATTAGATAGGCATCTCCACGCGAAATGACGAATCGAAGGTAATTTCACGACATGTTACCCTCATTTTTCACCTTCGAAATTTGACAGACTGAGGTGGCTCGTTTACGATTTTTTCGTAAACAATCCACCTCAATCTACCAAGCTCGCAAGAGCAAAAAGTTAGGTTAAAACGACGAGCACTTCCCTATCGGAAAACATGCGAGATTACGAAGTTACGGCGTTTGCGAAAAAGCTTGTTTTCAAACATTATCTGTGTGGAGGTTTCAAATAAATTCACATCACCATTCAACGAAGAATATGACGACTTTCACTGGAAATTGGACAACAACGAACGCGTTGGATAGGGTTCTGTTAATTTCGATCGACACCTTTTATCAAAAGATGCTTGTGAATAGCGTGAAAACCAATAATCGTTAATTTTAATAAAGCCAATTCTGAAGTCCCTTTTCAGATGCGATTGGAAAACCGGAACACCGGGATACTCAATGTTGCTGTTCTTCTTCCGGGAAGGATATGAGCAACAGTGTAAGAAGGGGAACCGTTCAATGATTCAAGATTCCGAATTCCGGGAAAATCTGCAAATCTCGATTACATTTTCAAAGGGACGTATCTGCAAACAATAATTCAAACGTCAATTTGTCGAAACTCTTAGTACTCGCACGCAAACTAACAATACCGTTTTGCTGCTGCTAAGACTTTCGACAAAAGCAGATACGTCCCTTTGAAAAAGTTTATTTCGAAGCATTTATTGTCGTGAAAAACGCATAAAACGGATAATGGACTTGAAATCATTGAATGGTGACACCCTTCCGATGCTGCGAATACTTAAAGAATTGTCCCACCTAGATTGAGTTCTGCCGCGAAGCACACCGGGTAAAGGATGAGGGCCACTAGCAGGGAGATTACTGAAACGAGAAATAAAATGCATATTGTACCAATTATTGTTAATGGAGTGCTTGTTTTGTTCGTCGGTCAGGCTGTTTGTTGCCAGATTATGGGAAAGAATGAGCTTATCGGGATCATCATTACTGTCACTGCGGGTTGGAAAAAATCTCAGGAAGGGATGCGAAGTTTGAAGGTGAGCAATTTGTTTCTATAGTGGAAGTTAGTGATTCTTTGAATAATGTATTATTTACGTAGTTTGTCCAGCTCATTGCACTAGATAGTATTTATATAAATCAATTTATCAGCAACGTGTCAAAAGGGTGAAACTGCTTTTGTCAACAAATGCTTTAGCCGTCGATTTCTCCCGAATAAAAGCGCACACATGCAATCAAACAACACCACGTAGAGGAATGTTTCCTCCACCAGATGGTATGATTAGTTTGCAGGACTCGCAGGGCTATGCATGCTCGAAACAAAGAAAAGAAAATGAACTCTCCGCCGAATCGCTTCATGTAAGTCATTGTGTTTCTTGTTATCGAGTCACGATGAACATTATCGAGTCACGATGAACATTTCTCCTTTCAAACTTGACTTGACTATCGCTAGTTTCGTTCGTCAAGTGCTTCAGTTCATTTCATTTGAAGCGAAGACTTGTTTCAATTGACGCAATGAATGACTTGAAAACTGCTTTCTTCGTTTTTTTTTCACTTTCACTTCAATTCGGGGTCATTCGACTTGTTACGCATCGTGTCGTCAAGCATCAAAATATAGTATCCGCACAATATCGGTTGCCGATAGGGATGGCATCCGGATTATATATAGTAATAATATATTATTTTATGTTAAATGAAAATTAAAATAACGAGGCCATTCTGGAGTCCAAGATGGCGGCTATCGGTTTCAGGAAAAGTCTCAAATACTTCGTCAAATACCCTACAATGTGGGTATTTTCGAAACGGGGACGACGCGAAGGTGCCGGAAATCGATGATACCCAACGCCATTTTGGAATTCAAAATAGGGACAATTGGTTTTCGGAAGTGTTTTTTTTTTTCCCTGATTTGTTTTCCGTGCTGAGCACCAATGCTACCGACGCCAAGGTGGCAGCTCTCACACCTGGACCCTACCTATCGACCCATCAACTCATGAACCGGGGACCAACGGCTGATCAGAGATGTTATGCCTCAGAACATCCCGACTGGGATTGAACCCAGGCCTGCTGGGGTGAGAGGTAATCACGCTTACCACTACACCACCGGCACCGCTTGGTTTTCGGAAGTGTCAAATACCCTAATGTCAAAAATCGATATCCGACGCTATGTTGGAATCCAATATGGCGGCCATCAAGTTTCATAAAACGTGTCAAATACCCTAAGATATGGGTATTTTTGGAACGGGGACAACGCGTGGATGCCAAAAATCGATATCCGACGCTATGTTGGACTCGAATATGGCAGCCATTGGGTTTCAGAAAGTGTCAAATCAGTGCTAACATTTGAAAACGGCACAAAAGCCATTTGTAAACAAATGGTTTGTGGGCCCTTTACTCACTACTTGAAGTACACCCACGCGACACAACAGCAACATCGGGTAGAGGAAATTTTCCCCTTCCTGACGATGCTGTTGGTTTGCGTGGGCGTTCTTCGGGTAGCGAGTAAAGGGCCCACAAACCATTTGTTTACAAATGGCTTTTGCGCCGTTTTCAAATGTTAGCACTGAAATACCCTGCACTATTGTTATTCTTAGAACGGGGACAACGCGTAGATACCGAAAATCGGTATCAGATACCATTTTGGAATCCAATCTGGCGGCCATCAGGGTTCATAAAGCGTCAAATACTCTACAATATGGTTATTCTCGGAACGGGAACAACGCGTAGATGCCGAAAATCGATATCCGATGCCATGGTGGAATCCAATATGGCGGCCATTAGGTTTCATAAAAAGTGTCAAATACCCTAATATCAGGTTATTTTTTCGGAACGGGGACCAATCCGATTCCCACGACGCGTAGATGCTGAAAATCGAATTCGATGCCATATGCAGGCCATTTAACACTTCTTTTGAAATCGGAAGCCACCATCTTGAATTTCAAGATGGCGTCGGATATCGATTTCTGACTTCTAGATGTCACCCCGATTCCAAAAAAAAACCCACATTGATCGATATTTGACAGTATTTCACAGTTTTTCTGAACCAAAGCCGCCATCTTGGATTTAAAGACGGCGTGACATCAATTTTCGGCATCTACGTCTCATCCACATTCTGAAAGTAACCATATTTTAGGATATTTGACACTTTTCCGCGTATCGGAAGTCGCCGATTTCGGCTATCGGCATCTAGACACCATCCCGATTTCAAAAATACCTATATTGATGGGTATTTGACAATATTTCCCATTTGTTCTGAAATCGGAAGCAGCCATCTTGTATTTATAAATGGCGTCGCATATCAATTTTCGATCTGTAGACTTCATACTGATTACAACCATATCAATATTGATGTGTATTTGACTGTATTTCCACTTTTCATTGAGTCGGAAGCCGCCATCTTTGATTTCCAAATGGCGTCGGATATCGATTTTCATTCTCTAGACATTATTCCGATTCCAAAACTACCTTTATTGATAGGTATTTGATAGTATTTCCCACTTTTTATTAAACTGGAAGCCGCCATCTTGGATTTTAAAAAGGCGTCGAAAACCAATTTTCGATCTCTAGATGTCACCCCGATTCAGAAAAATACCCATATTGATGTGTAAACAAACCACCCGACAATGATAAATTTGACATCCACGTTTTTCTTAACCAAAGCCGCCATCTTGGATTTAAATACGGCGTGACATCAATTTTCGGCATCTACGTCTCATCCCCATCCTCAAAATAACCATATTTTAGGGTATTTGACACTTTTCCGCATATCGGAAGTCACCGTCTTGGATTTCAAAATGGCGCCGGATATCGATTATCGGCCTCTAGACGCCATCCCGATTCCAAAAATACCTACCCATCAATATTTGACAATATTTCCCATTTGTTCTGAAATCGGAAGCAGCCATCTTGGATTACTAAATGGCGTCGCATATCAATTTTCGATCTGTAGACTTCATACTGATTACAACAATATCAATTTTGATGTGAATTTGACTGTATTTCCACTTTTAATTAAGTCGGAAGCCGCCATCTTCGATTTCCAAATGGCGTCGGATATCGATTTTCATCCTCTAGACATCATCCGGTACAGTACTTTTTATTAAACTGGAAGCCACCATCTTGGATTTTACAATGCCGTCGAATATCAATTTTCGATTTCTAGACGTCTCCCCGATTCAAAAAATGCCCATATTGAAGGGTAAACCAACCACCCGACAATGATAAATTTGACATCCAATGCACAGATCTATGTGCATACGCTTAAATGAACCGAAGGAACAATCAACAAAAGCCATAAAAACTGTGCGAATTTGGATCGAAAAGCTTCGGTTCGGCTGGTAAACGGCTGGACAATGCGTACCATTGATAATTCGCGTATCTGCAGGTATAAAATAGACCCCACCAGCGGTCCTTAGCCTCTTGTCCAGTAACTCCTATCCTAACTTCCCCGCGGTGTCGGCTGGGGTACGAGTAACCATAGGGAAGATCGGGTAACCAACCCCGGTGGGACCTTGGTAGTATGCTGACAGGGAAAGAGGGAGGGGGGGACTCCTCTCTGGGGAGTGCAGTCTTCGAGCGTCTGACCACCATGGAGGTACGGCTCAAAACGGCGTCTGTTTTCCATGTTAGGAGCGGCTGATCAACCTCCTGGAGCCAGCGTGGGACTCTAAACAGTGCTGTGCACGATGGTCCCCCGGCGAGACAATGAAGGTTGGTGCAGGCCCTACAAGCCAGCCGTAAAAAAAAACAAAAGTACAGGAAACAAGCAATGTAAATACGGACCGGAACAATCGGCATAGACCCAAGCAACGAAAACGGACTAACGATTGGAAACTCGGAACATGGAACTGCAAGTCTCCCAATTTCTTGAGAAGTACCCACATTATTTCCGATTTATTGAGGGTCCGCAAGTTCGAAATCGTAGCGCTGCAGGAGGTTTGCTGGAAAGGATCGTCGGTCGTACGTATAGAGATGGTTATACCATCTACCAGAGCTGCGGCAATACACATGTGCTGGGTACAGCTTTCATCGTGATGGGCGAAATGCAGAAGCGCCAATCAATAGCAGAATGTGCAAGTTGACGATCAAAGGCCGTTTCTTCAATGTCAGCATAATCAACGTGATCGGAGATCTTAACGCTCAGGTCGGCCAGGAGGAGGAATTCAGACCGGTTATAGGAAAGTTCAGCGCTCACCAGCTAACGAACGCCAACGACCTTAGAATCATCGATTTCGCCGCCTCTAAGAACATGGCCATAACGTAGTACCTACTTCTTGCATAGCCTCCCATATCGGTACACCTGGAGATCACCGCAGCAGACAGAATCGCAAATCGACCACGTTTTGATCGACGGAAGGCACTTCTCGGACATTATCAACGTCAGGACCTATCGCGGCGAAAATGTCGATTCGGACCACTACCTTCTAATGGTCAAGGTGCACCAAAAACTTTCCGTTGCCAACAACATTCGGTACCGACGCCCGCCACGGTACAATCTGGAGCGACTGAAGCTGCCCGAAGTCGCAACTGATTACGTGCAATGCCTCGACGCAGCGTTGCCGGATGAGGGAGAGCTCACCAAAGCCCCTCTTGAGGACTGCTGGAGCAATGTGAAAGCAGCCATTAACAGCGCTGTTGAAGGCGCTGTTGGGTTCGTGGAGCGGAATCGACGGAACGATTGGTTCGACGAAGAGTGTCAGATGATTTCGGACGAGAAGAACGCAGCGCGGGCGGCGATGCTGCAGCAAGGAACCCGTCATAATGTGGAGCGATATAAACAGAAGCGAAGACAGCAAACCCATTTTTCCCGGGATAAGAAGCACCGCCTGGAAGAGCTGGAGTGCGAAGAAATGGAGCAGCTGTATCGTTCTCAAGAAACACGCAAGTTCTACAAGAAACTCAACGCATCCCGCCAAGGCTTTGTGCCGCGAGCCGAAATGTGTCGGGATAAGGAAGGGGGTATCCTAACGGACGAACGTGAGGTGATTCAAAGGTGGAAGCAGCACTACGATGAACATCTGAACGGCACAGAGGCGGAGGACCAAGGCGGCAGGAGGAATGGCTTCGTCGGTACAGCGGATGAGGGGGACATGCCAGCTAGCTCCCACGATAGGCGAAGTTAAGGATGCTATCCGACAGCTTAAGAACAACAAAGCAGCTGGGAAAGATGGTATCGGAGCGGAACTTATCAAAATGGGCCCGGATAAGTTGGCCACTTGTCTGCACCGACTGATAGTCAGGATCTGGGATACAGAACAGCTACCGGAGGAGTGGAAAGAGGGAGTAATATGCCCAGTATATAAAAAAAGGCGACAATCTAGAATGTGAGAACTATCGATCGATCACTATTCTTAACGCGGCCTACAAAGTGCTTTCCCAGAGCATCTTTCGCTGTTTATCGCCGCTAGTAAGCAGATTTGTGGGAGCAAGCCGGTTTTGTGGACGGGCGATCGACAACGGACCAAATCTTTAAGTTGCGGCAGATCCTCCAAAAGTGTCGTGAATATCAAGTCCCTACGCACCACCTATTCATCGATTTCAAGGCCGCTTATGATACTATTGACCGTGAAGAGCTATGGAAGATTATGGACGAGAACGGTTTTCCCGGGAAGCTGACTAGACTGATCAAGGCTACGATGGATGGTGTACAGTGCTGCGTGAAGATATCGGGTGCGTTATCGGACCCGTTTGAAACTCGCAAAGGACGTCGACAAGGCGATGGTTCTTTCCTGTCTCCTGTTTAACATTGCGCTAGAAGGTGTTATGGAACGTGCGGGCTTTAACATGCGGGGTACGATCTTCAATAAGTCCAGCCAGTTCATCTGCTTCGCTGATGACGTGGACATTGTCGGAAGAACGTTTCAGGCTGAATCGTTAAGCAGAGAATGTTGGATTAAAGGTGAATACGTCGAAGACAAAGTATCTTTTAGCTGGAGGAACCGAGCGGGATAGGGCTCGCATAGGCAGAAGCGTGACAATCGACGGAGATGAGTTCGAGGTGGTGGATGACTTTGTGTACCTCGGATCATTGGTGACGTCGGATAACAACTGCAGCAGAGAAATTCGTCGGCGTATTATTGCCGGAAGTCGTGATAACTACGGTCTCCACAAGACCCTGAAGTCGGCTAAACTTTACCTCCGTACTAAATGTACCATGTACAAGACGCTGATAAGACCGGTAGTTCTCTACGGACACGAGCCGTGGACGATGCTCGAGGAGGACCTGCAAGCACTGGGTGTTTTCGAACGACGAGTGCTTAGGACCATCTTTGGCGGGGTATGTGAGAACGGTGTATGGAGGCGAAGGATGAACCACGAGCTGGCGCAATTCTATGGCGAACCCTGTATCCAGAAAGTGGCGAAAGCTTGACGGGTACGATGGGCGGGACACGTTTTAAGAATGCCGGACAACAATCCCGCAAAAATGGTGTTTGCCTCGAATCCGGCCGGTACAAGACGAAGAGGAGCACAACGAGCAAGATGGTTAGACGAAGTGGAACAGGATCTTGGAAGTGTCCGAGTGAATTGGCGTAACATTGTGATGCAGGTGCAATCCTGAGGGATGTCGGACCAGGATAAGTAAAAGTAAGCTTCGCCTCAATGCAAAAGTAAGTTCATTTGACAATGAAAGAAGAAATGAACCAGGTCAAGCCAAAACAAACAGCATCGAAACTGATCGAAAGTGGTTCTGTTGATGTTGACGGGGATCTGCTCGAAGAGAAGACAGAACGACTTTCAATTGAAAGTGATGGTTTACAGCTTCATCGTCACTTGATGATTTTCGATTCAAAGTGACTTTGTGGGGCCCCTTTGCACGAGTGAGCTTTTATTTGCGAAAACTCGGTGGTTGGAGTAATTGACCACTTTGTCAAGCTGTTTTGGCTTGACTTTCTACCAGCGATTTCACAAAACTGGACCAACTAATTTCTATTTTTTTATGAAACACACAAATGTTGGTTACTTTTCTCGAGGTTCTAGAAGAAAAAATCTCAAAATAATGTTTTATTTAAAAGTTCGAATGGTAGTAAATGTCATTTTAACTACTCGAATGAAGTGGTTAATTGTTTACAAAAGCAGTTTGCCCTTAAGAAATGTTAGCATCGAATTGATCGACTCTGCAATTAGACACAACTATGGTATATAGTCGCTATATTCATAGTCTGGCGGATAGAATTTCGATCTATCAAAAAGCGGAACCAATTCAATATATTGTAGACCAACAATTGAAAAGGTCCTATCAACTATACTATGATGCGTACGACTGAAAATCGTAGCGACATTTCTCGCTTGCATCACTGGTTTCGCTAAGTCGCTAATGACGTCGGAAGTCGCTAGTCGCACTATACAGACATTAGTGTTAAAAAAGTAGAAGAGTTTGGAATATAGTCGACTTTCGCTCGTTGGGCTAAACTCATAGCCCACTTAGGCTGTGAACCATTTGCCGAGTTAAATTTAACTCGTAGTTAAAAGTGACATTTCGAAAGTTATTTCTTATGTTCGAAAATCCCCGTGCTGTCGATCGACCGGTTTTCGAGCCACGGTCGTCAAAATTTAACTTCTTGTCTGACAGAAATAACCACGCTCGGATAGCTCGGATAGTTAAAATAATCCACCAAATGGTTCAGAGCCTTAGTGAAAAGCTTTCGTTAGTTGGGCTGAGCTGTCAAAGCTGAAAATTGGTTGTTGGATTCATCGATTGTATATTACCATCACAAACGTTTAGCAAATATTCAAATTGTTCATGCATGAACCCTTCGAAAAGGAATCAGCACTATCAGAAATTAGGTTTGACGTCGATTTAGGTGGGCTACAACAGCCCAACTAACGGAAGCCCAACGAGCGAAATTCGAAAGTACTGCAAACCGCTGACCACCTGCAAACCGCTGAAAATGAGATATGGGTAGGAATCCTCAAACTGTACATAGTGAAACAGATTGTCCTAAATCATATGGCGGTGGGGGATATTTTGGACAGTTTGAAACAGTAAATGGAAACAGCGATGGGTTCGATTACTTACATGCCACCATCATGACAAGCACGGCGACGCGGTAGTACTTGTACTTGCGGTTGTGATCCTGCGTGTTCAGCCCGAGACCGGTCAGTATCGTCGCTACAATATCGGTGAAGAGTGTAATAATACAAAGGCCAGCGGTGGCTTTGATGTAGGCTGTGGGGAGAGTGAAGAGAAGAGTGGTTTTAGTTTCTACTAATGATTCCTTATTTGTTTACAGTTTGATATTGCTACTTACTGACATCGCGGCTGGAGTAGCAACCGGCAGGATCCTGCAGATTGAACGGCAGTGGTGGCGAGTAATCTTCCTCGATGCAGTGCACAAACAATCCCTGACGCCAGCTCTCCGCCATCAGCCAATCGGTGGAGGTGAGTGCGAGAATCATTAATATTCCCACTATCACTCCACAGATGAAGGCAATTACCTGAGGGAAAGAAAGATGATGATGACGCCATCATATAGCTTTTAAAAGCAAGCAAACGAAGTCTTACCTTGAGCGGCCTAGTGATGGTGACGGTTTCGATCGTCGTCGTTGGAGCCATCCTGTCAGGAGAGGGACCACGTACGGTGCTGTCAACGGCAAAGAGAAGGAGAAAAGAAAGTCATGAGTACTTTGTGATACTTAAAGTAAGAAAAATTAGATCATATTAGTAAAATTAAAACTTTCTGCTGGAAGCCTGTCTTACGATAGAAAGCGCAAACACACTTTTTGGCGGAACAAAATGAAAACTTATACTACCTCAGGAAGCGGAACGGAAGATGCTTCTTGGTTTATTGCCTGGTCCCTGGAGGATAAGAATCTCGCAAACTGGCAAGGCGATGCTGCTACCGGGCAAGTGATTTTTCGCTCACCTGCGGTCGCCAGTAAATTACAAACTTTTCTTTTATTCCTACGAAGAAGCTTTTTCACTTGTCTTCTGCTACTGCGGAGGCCGGGAAAAAGTAGCAAGCAGATAGCGTTTCTCAGGAAAAAATAGGCGTCGTGGTTACAAAATGGATGCACAGTTAAAAGCAATCCAGCTTAGAGCTACTATTGATATCAAACATGTAAGAACAATCTAACTAATTTTAAGTCACTTTGTATGTTAATTCTTTTTGTGCAATATAAAAAAACGCCGATTTATGCGACGAAATCAGCTAACACTTTTGTTACAGTGTACATCGCTAGCTAGCGGTCGCATTGGGTAATGGAAAAGCTGCCTCCGCCCACCCACCAGTCAAACAGTATGGTGCAGGAGGAAAACTGAATTTTAACAAGGAAACCACACAAAAGGCAAAGTTAAAATTAACTCGCCAAAAATGCATCAACTCGAAAGTGCAGTTTACTTCTGCTGACTTATTCTCGTCCAAAATAGAAGCGACTATATAATGGCATTCATCAGGCGACATTTTTTTTTCCAAAGCTCATTTGGGTAAATATATTCCAGCACCGTGACAAGCCGCTCTATGTTAATTTTCTGCCGCAGCTTTTGTCCGGACGAGCTGAAATCTCTAGAATCGCGAACCAATGTTTGTATTTTTTAATTGTTTTTTTTTTTTTTGAGTGCAGCAAGTGCATGAAAATTAAGTTGCAGCGAAAAGTTTTCGAGCTTAATGAAACAAAACGGAAAAAGTTGACCAAAAGGCGGCCCAGGCACAGCTGGGTCTCATTTGCGTTTAAATGGAATAAGGTTGGAAGGAAGGCAGCAGAGATTCATGCACCCCGGAAAGCGTAGGTATGAGAACGTGAACACTCGTTTTTCCTTGTGTAGTACACTTGTTGTGTGATGTTGTGCCGGAACATATAGCATGGCGGATAGGTGTGGGGGATGAGGTTGGACCGTACGTGGACTTGTTGGGTGTAAGATTTATGAAGGAAAATGTAATTACTTTGCCTTTGTCGACTTTTTTGTCCGAGTTGCAGGCGGATTGAAGCTTTTTTTTATTTTCTTTTCAGGAAGAAGATGTATGAACATGTACCGATTCAGTTTCTTGTGTGAAGTGATTACTTCATTATTAAGAGTGAAGGTTTCTTTTTTAATTCAATGTGGCATTTAACGGGTTTAATTTGGTTTAAACAATGTGAATAATTTCTATAATCGAGATTTGATTTGTGCGACTAATCTGAGATGCTTTAAATTCCATTTGCACTTGACTCTATTTCGATTAAATAAAATGCCGAAGATCGTAGGTTCAATCCTAGGCTTCTTCTCATTGTAGCAAGGATCGCATCGATTTTTTTTTCTGCTTCTAAACATGACCACTTATACTTGTCGACCACATGATTAATACATTTGATTCCATTTGAATAGCTTCATGTTGCCGGGTCATCATTTGTCGCGATTGATTTTTTGGAAGGATCTCGATAACCTGGTAGCGACCGTTTTTGCTCATGGAGCAGAAGCTTGTGGGTTACCCAGGATTTTTTTAAATAAAAATGGCCCACACTACTCATAGAACTCTGCTGGAATTGAAAGAAGTGGTATGCTTTGTAAAATATGAAATAAGGTACACTGGGGGAAGTGGGTCTGGAAAAAAATCAACAGCCAGCTACACCAAAATTGTGATTATCAACTTTAAATCTTGTGGTATGATTGAACTCATTTGTAGTCCCAAAACAGAATTTCATTAAAAACAAATTAAGGTTTGTGTCCGAAGCATGACCGCATTGTTGACGTAGAGCTACGAGATTGTTTTTGATACTCAATTCAATATTTCAAAATTAGTTATTTATATATTCAATGTCTTAATCAATGTTTAACTCATTATTCAGACATTTGAACCAAGGCGACATTCTTAATCCTAAATTAAAGATACAAATTTTCTAAATTCAGTGTCCATCCCATTCAAAATTAGGTTCCAAATATGTTTACTCAACTTTTAAGGAGTTCACACAAGCGATTTACTACTGATGGTATCATCGAAAGAATCTTTATATTCGAGTGTTGATTCGGCATGGATTGTGTGCGTTAGTTTTTGTTCATGATACATTTGCTGTATAACACTGGCGAATGGTCCAGCAACATGTAATGACACTGAATATGGATGGTCAAAAGCTGTTGCATAAAGTGAACATTAACTTTTCACATCGAATTACGTGGGTTATTGGGGGAGATTTTGTATTGCCAGGTTCCCAATTTTGCTTATATATTCTTAAGAAGTATAGCCATTGAAATACTATATTTCTGAAAACTTTTTCAGAGGATTTCCAACAAAATATAATCCCTAGTACCCCTCATGTCCTTGTGCTATCATGTCAAAACATCATGACAACATTCATCTCACGCCACAAAACATGCAAACCAGTGGGTACCTCGATTAATGTCAGACACCCACTGCCCACTACTGTGGCGGCGATGTGGCATGTCAAAACATTATGCTGAAACATTGCATGTGGTGAACGTCAACATGATGTTAGTCAAGGTATTCACTAATATGGCGGCGGAGTGGCATCTGCTAGCATGGTAAAAAAGCTTGTCGAGGTTCGCCTTACGCCACATTACATCCACATAATCTTTTGGCATGTTGTATGATGCCACACCGTGGCCACAACAGTGGGTGCCTCGTCGCGTGTCCGCAGTTCGTTGTTCTAGGGTTATTTCGATTACACGAGTGAATCGCGTAAATGGAATATACGTAGTATGTGGGATTTGATTTAATTGGTTCCAAAATGAAATACCCCGTGATCCCGGCGATACAGGAAGTTACTGTGCTGGGCAAACATTTTCAGGTGACTAAGGTCTTTAGTCAGAGTTTAGTCACTAGACGGCGTATGAGATTTACTATGTGCTATTTATATCTCATGAGCCTGACTTTCATGGAAAATACAGTCCTCAACAATTTTTTTTTTCGGTGAAGAACAGGTTAGTTGCGAATGCTCCCGTTACGCGGCTCTATTGCATATGTGATGTTTACTACGTGCTTTATCACAAGATCCTGACTTACTAGGAAAATACAGTCTTCTACATAGTTGGTAAGCTAACCAAGTCATTTCAAATGATGGACAATAAGTGTGGAAGCTACTCACTACACGTCGCTAGTGTTCGTTAGAGCAATGGAGGCGAACCAGCCCCAGGCTGAAAGCCTCCCTAATAAAGATAAATTAATTAATTAATTCGTTAGAGCTTGTGCATGTATCATATCTTAAGACTTTGGCATTCTGGGGAATAACTGTTTGCTGCAAAGTTGTTCAGATGGCCAAGGTCACTGCAAAGTTGTCTAAAAAATATATGAAAACTTTCCCGAAGACACCCATTCACAGATTTTTCATACGTTGTTGCAAGCATGATTTACCACTTTTATGGATAATCCGGATCATCTAGACAACCTGTTTGTGGCCTCCAGGATGCATAATTCGGCATAATGCCAAATTCAGTCAGAAAACACATCAACAAGTGCTTGCGCAAAAAAACAACATGGAGCTCTAGAACCAGTTTCATGAATTGATCACTTTTACGGATGTTCGGGATCTCAAAGAAGATCAATATGTTGCATATTTTGGCCACAAATGAATGCACAAAAAATCATTTAGCTATAAGACCAGTTTAATGAATTTACCTCTTTTACGGATTTTCCGGATCTTCCATAGGACCATTATGTGATTACCAGGGTCCATATTCTGGCCACAATGTGAAATTCATTCTAAAAACACATCAACAAGTGTGTTCGCAAAAAAAAACAGTGAGCTCTAGAACCAGTTTCATGAATTGAACACTTTTACGGATGTTCCGGATCTCTCAATGGAGCCTTAGCCCTCCAGGGTACATATTTGGGCCAAAACTCCATATTTTTTCTTAAAACTCACCAATAAGTGCTTGCCGCTAAAAACACCGCAGCTCTAGCTCCAATTTCATGAATTTACCAGTTTTACGGATGTTACGGTGTCCCGCTGGAAGACAAATTCGTTCATTCATTTGGTGCTACAAAACTGAATACTCTTATTCGGCAAACGTGTCTGACACTTCACTCATTTGCGAATATCTATTCATGAAAAGTTACGAACCAGACACACGGTAGTTCAATGGCATGTTGACAGATTTCCAAACATTGATTTCTGGCCTCTAGGCGTTACTAATATTTCGAAAAAAAAAACCCGTATTGATAAGTACTTTTTCTGAAACCAGAAGTCGTCATCTTGGATTTCAAGATGGCGTCTGACATAGATTTTCGGCATCTACGTGTCATCCCGTTCCGAAAATACCCATGTTTTAGGGTATTTGACAGTATTTACCACTTTTTCTGAAATCGGAAGCCATCATATCTTGAATTTAAAAATGACATCGGACATCGATTTCCGGCCTCTAGATGTCATCCCGATTCCAAAAACACCAATATTGATTAGTATTTGACAGTATTTCACACTTTTTATGAAATCAGAAACTGCCATCTTGGATTTCAAAATGGCGTCGGATATCGATTTTTCTTAGGCATCATTAAGATTCCAAAAATGCCTATATCTATGGGTATTTCCCATTTTTCTTAAACTGAAAATCGCCATCTTGGATTTCAAAATGGCGTCGCATATAAATTTTCGATCTCTAGACGTCATTACGATTCCAAAATTACCCATATTGATGGGTTGGCATCAGTAT